TATCTAGCTTTATGATGTCATTTATTATCAAACCATATATGGTTTCATATGCATTCCGTCTAAATTGGTATAAATCCGTAAAATTCATAGATGGTTTCGAATGCATTCAATGTTATTTTAGTTATACCGTTTTTAGAAAAATTATCATTTGATTTTTGTTTTCAGAATGGATCCTGGGAAGTTTTATGGCTCGTCTAAATACGTTAACTATATTCCTGGTGATGAAGAACTAAGTGAAGACGATGTAGGATTAGATTCAGATAATGAGTATATTCATTTGAAAGGAGAACTAAGTGAAGACGAATTAGGTTCAGATTCCGATAATAAATATATTTCTCGATGTCGTCAGTCCCAGTCTGATGATAGTGACAACAATGAACAAAGGAATTTGGATGAAAATATACCTACTTGCTCTGGTATAAATAGAATTGTCAACAAAAAAAAGAAACCTGAAAAAATTTTATGGGAATCAGGCCATTTGAAGCATTTTAATAAAAGTGATTATGCATTTAAAGGCGTTGTAGATCTACCAGAATGTATCCTTGAGTTAGAAATTCCTGCAGATTTTTTCTTGTTTTTGTTTTCAAAAGAATTAATATCCATGATTGTTGAACAATCAAACATAAAAGCTCTGCAGGATAACATAAACAAACCTGCCAATATTACCGAAACGAAATGGAGCAATTCATAGGAACTGTAATATTTATGTCATTGTGTGAAATTACCATCATCGAGACTTTACTGGAATGCAACTCTAGGTCAACCACAAGTATTTGAATCTATGACCTGCAATAGATGGGTAATTATAAAGAAACACCTTCATTTTAGTGATAATAGTAACTCCGTTCCGTTGGTAATCCAGGCCATGATAAATTGTTCAAAATTCGACCTCTATTAGACAAGATTAAACAACGGCTTTTACTGGTTCCCAAGGAGGAACATCTAGCTGTTGACGAACAAATTATCCCTACGAAATGCCGCCACCACCTCAAACAATATAATCGGCAAAACCTCACAAGTGGGGATACAAAAATCAAGTACTTAGTGGTGTATCAGGTTTTAGTTATGACTTTGATATTTTTGCTGGTGAACAAAGCAATACTTTTCCAAATGGAGCGCCTGATTTAGGAGTCAGTGGAAATGTTGTCACTAGACTGACAGAGACAGTGCCGAAGAACGTTAATCATAAAATATTTTTCGATAACTGGTTTAATAGTCCAAAGTTACAGATTTATCTTACAAAAAATGGATTGTTACCTTTAGGTACGGTTCGATTAAACCGTGTTTCAAATTCAGGAATCCCATCCAAAAAAAGAACTAAAGAAAAAAGAACGCGGTTTCATTGTAGAAAAAGTTGCCCTTGTTGAAGATGTAAACATAAGTTTAATAACTTGGTTCGATAATAAGCCAGTAAATATGTTATCAACTTATGTTGGTAGTGAACCTAGAACCACAAAACGTAGGTACTTCCGAAAAGAAAAAACGTACAAAGAGATTCCATGCCCTCAAGCTGTTGAAGTTTATAATCAGCTGATGGGAGGAGTGGACTTATTAGACTCGATGCTGGGGCTTTACAGAATCCATCTAAGATCAAGAAAATGGTATAAACGAATTTTTTTATATGTTGGATCTATGTGTTGTAAACGCATGGATACTCTGGCGTAGAAAAAATTAACAAAATTGCTATATGCCATTATTTGACTTCAAACAAGCCGTTTCTGAACATTTATGTAAATTTGGGAAGTCACTACCAAGAAAGAGAGGTCGTCCAGTAGGACAAAATGGGACTCCAACATCTAGTCATCAAGGAACTCCAACGTCTAGTCGTCAAGGAACTCCACCTGTCTTAACCAATGGAACAAACCCAACACCAACAAAAAGAACAAGAAAAACTCCTGCAAGACATCAAGAGATACCGTTAAATTCTGTGCGTACGGACAACATTGGACATATGCCAGAATGGCAAAAATATCGCCAACAGTGTCAAATATGTACAAAAAAAACTTACACCAAATGTATAAAGTGTAAAGTATTTTTATGTTATAATGAAAAAAGGAATTGTCTATCACAATTTCATAACTAACGTATTTTTGTATGTTAACTTTTTATTAAAATATGTTCTTATAATGCATGTGAAACCACATATGGATTTTCAAAAAATCTACCAGTTTGTAGTTATTGCATATGAAACCATATTATGGGTTTGCAAAAAAACTTCTATATAGGCATAAACAGTTATTTTAAATGTACTAATGCCTTTTATATACCTTAATACAAATCACAATACATAAAAATATTTTTTATTTCATGTTTGCAATAATTCATGCAGTAGAGGGTTAATAGGAACTCCATTTAACTTTATTCCAGCTGTTTCACCCTCAAGGGCGTTTTTCGGATGTCTTTGGAGTAAGCATTAAAAAGAATTGTCGACAATACGCATCCCTGTCTCACTCCACATCTAATTTCAATTTCTTTTGACAGCTGTTCGTTAACACGTACTTCTGCTCGCTGTTTATAGTATAAATTTGATATAATCCTGAGGTCATTGTAGTCAATCTTCTTTGATTTCAGGACATTCATTAATTGTTTATGTCGTACTTTATCGAATGCTTTATTATAGTCAATAAAACATGCGTATATATCTTGATTGACGTCCAGGCATCTTAGTATCAGTATATTAAGTGAAAAAAGAGCTTCACGCGTTCCTAGGCCTTTGCGAAAATCAAATTGTGTATCATTAACGCCTATGTCCAGTGATATATTCGGTTATGGAAGACTTTAAGTAGTAACTTTAGCATATGAGACATCAAGCTAATGGTGCGGTAATCGCACCATTAGCTTTAAAGATTAGATCAAAAAATTAAAATGAGTACAATAAAATTTGTTGGACATACGAAGTGTGTGCCTCTTTAAAAACTTGTGTTTTAAGAAAATTTGTAGATTTCTTATGATCATATTTTGAACCAAGAACATATTTTCGCTTCGAAATATTCCTTCCTTTCGTTTCGAAATAATATCTTTTAATATATTAGATAAGTTAGAAACAAAAGGGCACACCCTTCAAACAAGTTTCGCGTGCCGCATTCCGTTTGCCGGAAAATAACTTATTATTTGCAAGTAACATAAATTCAGTGTTTGTCGCACCTGTGACAGAAACTGAAATTATGGATATAACTAAAAATTTAAAAAACAAAATGAGTTGTGGAATTGATGAAATACCCACTAAAATCCTTAAACTTTGTATAAAGAAGATAGTGAATCCTCTCACTACAATCATAAATAATTCACTAAAATCTGGTGTATTTCCTGAATGCCTGAAAAACTGCCATAGTAACACCTGTTTACAAAAAGGGTGATCTAAATTAATTAATAACTATAGACAATTAGCCTTCTATGTTCCTTTTCAAAAATCTTAGAAATGACTATGTTTAGGCGGATAACAGAATTTTTAACAAAATGTCATATTATTAGTGCAAATCAGCATGGTTATCAACAGGGAAAATCAACTCAGACTGCGATTTTTCAATTTGTCTGGGATATTTTGAAATGTACTGAAATTGGTCATATGGCTTTGGGTCTCTTTTTGGACCTATCAAAGGCATATGACTGTTTAGTGCATGACATATTATTTGATAAATTGGAGAAATATGGTATACGTGGACCAGCATTGAACTGGTTTAAGTCCTACTTGGCAAATAGGAGACATTTAGTAAAAATACATAAAAAACACTGAAATAGGCATCTCATCTGAAAGCACTATCAATATTGGAGTACCACAAGGAAGTGTGATTGGTCCTTTACTGTTTGTGATCTATATCAATGATCTTCATGGTCTAGTGGCTAATACTACTTCCAGCATAACAAATTATGCAGATGATACAAAATTTTAGTCAGTGGTAAAGGACATGTCTGTTCTAAGCGTTAATGCTAGTTTAGAGTTCCAGAAAGCTAAAGACTGGTTTTCTATGTATAGGTTGGTTTTAAATCAAATAAAAACAGATCTTCTTTTGTTTAAGACAAATTATGCACATTCAGATATGCCAAACAGTATTATTGTAAATAATGACACTTTAAATATTAGCAGCAGTACCAAATTTTTAGGATTATATATTGATAGTTTTTTATGTTGGGATTAACATGTTGACCAGTTATGTATGTATTTGAGTAAAGTGATTTACAGCTTTAGAGTTCTAAAAAAATACATGAATAGTAACTCATTAAAAACAGTGTATCATGCTAATTTTGAAGCAAAATTTAGATATGGTCTAATAAATTTTGGCCACAGTAGGGACATAAATAATGTATTTCTGGTTCAGAAAAAAATAATCAGAGTTATGTTTGACTTAAAAAGTAGGGAATCATGTAGAGGGCATTTTAGGAGTAATAATATTTTAACAGTTTACGCTGTATTTATTCAAGAATGCTTACTGTTTCTATAAAAAAATAAAATACTATTTAGGAACTTTGAGCCCAATAGTATAGTAAATACCAGGATATATATTATAAATTCCAATACACAGGTTAAGTATAACAGAAAAAAACGCTCTTTATTGCTGCATCAAATTGTTTAATAAACTGCCTGAACCTATTAAAAGGGAGGAAAGATTAAGTGTGTATAAACATCAAATATTTAAGTTATGGTAGCTCTTGAACCATATTCTGTGGAGGACTATTTGCATATGTAACGGTTAGGAATAAGTAAATAATATTTTCGTTTGTGACACTGTTTTTTTTTAAATAATTTTATGTTCATGAATGTATATTATTTTCTAAAAATAAAGATATTGTTATGTTATGTTATGTTATTTAAAAAAAAATAAGTTGTAGCTATGTAAAACTTGCTTCTCTGTATACTAGCCTCAAAGCATCTTTTAAACCAACAAAAAAATCCACTTTTTTTAATTCTACAATAGGTAATATTATTCTGTTCCCTAAAATTTATTCGTACAATAAAAATTGAAATGAAATTTCTTCACGCTAATGTTTTTAATTATTTTTAGATTACGGATGAAGGAACGAGTTGTCTTGCTAGAGGGCCCAGTGGACCAAAATTGACGGAACTTAGAATAGAAGATACTCAGGTAACCGATGTTGGTTTGAGAGACATTGCGGAAAACTGCCCTAACCTGCAAATTTTATGTTATCGGGGTCGACAAAGACAAGGTAATTAATTTAAATAATAAACGTGAAAAATTAAGTTGAACCATTTTCAATTATATTAATAAAAGTCTAGAGCACTTTTGGAATGTTATAAATGCATTTTTTTTTTTGGAATTTAATTAATAATTTCGTTTTTGATCCACTTCCTGAATATCTCGGTTTTGAACAAATTTGGGTTTTTTTAAACGACATTCTACTTTACCTAAAATTGTTGCTCGCTGTATGGTTTTTTTTTTGTCATGAATTGTAGTAATTATAGGTACGTAAAGTTCAAGAGAATGTGTTAAAATTTTCAAAATTTTAGTTTTTTCCCACAAAAGTTATTGTAACTAGTTGTGTGCCCATGTGTTAGTATTTCATGATACGATATTTTCAAGAATTCTATACAGCTATATCTGAAAAAAGTTCAAAAAAAATGTGGGGATCCGTAAAATAGTTTCGAAACAATTCAGATTTCTGCTTATAATCTGAACCTTCTAAAAATTACAAGGCAAACAGACGTTGATAAAAGATGTTAAAAGGGACATGGGGAATCTAAAATTTGCATTCCACGACATGTCTTTACAACTAAGCAGAAATCCTTAGCGAATTGTGTTTCTTGTACTCGTACAGAGCAGATCCGAATAAAATGAAAAAGACAGCAAATATTTGATTTCACGCAAACGGCGTCTATGTATTTGTTGATACGTATTTCGACTTAATCTCATCAGAACAGTTATTCATAGGTGTTCTCAACGTGAAAAATCAATCAAGGATTTCTGCTTAGTTGTAAAGACATGTCGTGGAATGCAAATTTTAGGTTCCCCATGACCCTTTTAACATCTTTTATTAACGTCTGTTTGCCTTGCAATTTTTAGAAGGCTCAGATTATAAGCAGAAATCTGAACTGTGTTTCGAAACTATTTTACGGATTTTATTATTAGATGTCGCTATTTGCGTCCGTATTGAAGCCATTTTAGTGTTGCTTCTTAAAAAGACAGAAAATATTGATTTTTCACGTTGAGAACACCTATGAATAACTGTTCTGATGAGACCTATTAGGTCGAAATACGTATCAACAGATACATAGGCGCTGTTTGCGTGAAATCAAATATTTGCTGTCTTTTTCATTTTAAAATGTGGGGAATTCAAATATACTCTAAAGGAATAATATCTATCCTATATCTATAGTATAAATAATAATACCTATACTCTAAGGGAATAAGAAAAACTTAACTGTGTTCAGAACTTTACTATAGCCAGGTACTTGACAAAATTTCCATTAATACATATCTCTGGTAAGAAAAACAATACGTATTCTGCAGAAACAGCGTAGTTTGTTAATTTTTAACAATTATTGTGCGAAAAATGCAATTTTTTTCGAATTTCCGCGTACCATTAAATAGGTTAATATCTATTTATATTAAATTATATTAAAATTTATATTAAATATAAACTTTTTATCCGTTAAAAATAGAAAAACCTTAAAAATGGCGTATTCTAAAATTTTTTAAATTAATTTGTTGCTAAAATTATGTTGCATTAATCGGCTGAGAGCAAATGATGCTATGAAAATTCTTCATTGCATTTAAAAACATGTTAAATATGTAAATACAAGTTGTAAATAGTGCATCGGCATAATCTGTTAATATGGTTTGAAAAAGATGTATATCTACAACAAATTAATGTATAAAAAATCATACAAAGGAATTAAAAAAATACAAATAAAATAAAACAAAAAAAAACTAAAAGACAAAAAAAATTAGAAATTCAGAACTAAAAAAACAAAAATTCTGATAAGATAATTTTGACAATTAATCTGCAATCAATAATAATTAAAATTCAGTCGACTTTAAAAAAACAAAAACTAGTCTGGCTAATTGACTCCGCCAAAGCCATTTATCAGAACAGAAAAAAATTGTTGCTCCAAAACAGTAAAAAGAGATTTCATTTATAACTTTAGAACATCTTTCTTATTATAATTTTTATTAATTAAAAATTCTTTATACTTGGGTTGTATTTTGATGGAACTTTTAAAATCTTTTTACATTTTTGTATATTTTTAGATTTAGATGACTTCGTACCTTTCCACAATGAGTTAAAAAACTTGAAACAAGTTACATGGACAGTGAACTGGTAGAGTGACTTTTCCCCAAGGGCGAGACGCATTATATTTGTTGTGATTTGTTGTCAATTATATTTATTAACAATTGTTTTGCGTTTTATTTAAATACAACCTCATTACACATTTCCGTATACATGAGCAGATAAAAAATACAAGCATTCTAAAAAAATACCTTTTAACTAGGTAGTAGAAATAAATGACAGACTTTAAACTTACCATTCGGAGCCAAATTAATTCTGTTAGATTTATTTAATACCTGCTTCCTAAAGTATGAATTCCTAGACCTCTGATCTCAAGCAATAATATATATACATCCGGTTTTTAGGCGTTACGCCCGTCCGGTAGGGATCTATGGACGAGTATCACCGAGCCGCAAGCCCTTATCTCTTGCCGTACTGCTCCACCATAGGCCGATCAGAAACCAGCATATCCTAGTCTAAGCCGCAGATTCATCTAGAATTTTAAACTGCTGCGTTAGACTTTTTGTTTTCTGTACACCGAGCTTGGGCTCGACCACATCACTAAACCATTCGACAGTGAAGCGAATGAGAGGCAGCCGCACAGCCCGCTGAGCTATCTGACCGACTCAAGCAATAATCATTTCCATTATTAAGCCTAACAAACCAAAAAACAACCCTACCGCTTACCGATCCATTACTCTTACATGTTGCATGTGCAAGATCCTAGAAAAAAATTTAATCCTCCGCCTTATTAGTTAGAAAGTAATAATTATCTTCCTCCCTTCCAAAGTGGTTTTTGAAGAGGTAGATCCACATTAGATAATCACGTTACATTACAGACTTCAATTAATGAAGCTTTTGCAAATAACCAAAAACTAATAGCAATATTTTTCGATATTACTCAAGCCCATGATATAAGGATACAAGATATGATATTGCCACACACTAAACTCGTACATCTCGCGCATGGACGTCACCTTGTGCTAAATTTTCAAAAATGTATCCATACTTGCGGATGAAACGCACTGTTGAAATTCTAATATAATTTAATAGATGTTTTATTTACTATGTGAATTTAAGTTAAGTATTTAAACTAGTTTATTTGTAGAAAATAACACGTTTCCATGAGAGTAAAGTTTGAAGGGGGAGCCATGGCCGAATGGAATGGTTATGTAAAACTAAAGTTTGATTTTGAGGTTGCAGTCATTAATAGGGCAGGATAAGTAAAATCTTTTTTTTTTACCTAACTGAACTTACGAGTATCCTTTTTTTTAAATCTGTGTTTGCATTTCAATAATGAACTATCCTATATGCTTTTGGACGGCAGAATAGATAACTATTGCTTTAGATATGTCCTCAACTTTCCATTAAGGCGAGTTTTTGAATTTTCTAATTTTTTTAGGTGCTCCTCACTAAAAATATTTCCAATAAGTTCTTGGCGCTTTTCCAAAAATGCATATATTGTATCGTCTCGTTTTTTGTTTCAATTTTACTTGCATTACTGCTAACAGCAGGTTATCATCTGAGACAATCTGAGTTAACGTCTCCTCTGAAGTATGCCAACTATTACCAACCTGTTAAAAATAAATAAATAAAACCAACAATTTTATGATGTTACTATTATATATTTTTGGTGACAAAAAAATTCAAAAAAAGAAATTCACCTTTACTGTAGTAGTTTTATAAACCATCCAGTAAAAATGTTTGTATTAAGGCATGACTAACAAAGAGGTTATTATGAAACACTGTTATTTTGCACCTTAAACAATGAAAAAAAAAACAAAACAATGTAATAAGTAACAAACTGTCGTTAAATGAGACAGACTAAAACATTTTCTATTTGTCATGTCTTTATGCAAAAAAAGCAACAGAACCATAGACTATTTTTACTGGAAAACAATATTTGTGATCTCAAAAAATCTACTAAATATATATTTGAATTATCTACCTAGGAATATTTACCACATTTTTTACATATGCTTAAGGCTAAGGGGACTAAAAAATTATTATATAAGGTCATTTTTCCTTTGTAGCCTTAAATAAACTGAATACTACTTATGTAACATTATTTTCAAGATATACATAAATTACTTCCTTACAATTATGTTAAACCAATCATAACATTTCTATTAGTACATACAAAATTGCAGAATGTCCAGCAATGTTTACACCTAAATTTCAAAAATATCAGCCAAACTGCCAAATTTTTGAAACATAGTACAAATAAACATTTATTCATTTACACATTAAGCCTTGTTCTTGATTGGAACTGGGTTTTGTTTCATTTGCAGAACGATGGAACGCATTCGAGAAACGTCTTTGCTGCCTTGTTTTGCTTTAGGATTGAAATCACACAATTTTGCTATTCTTTCCCATTCGGTTCCTGGTTCTAGCTCGTCATCTTCGGCTACGAACTGCTTTTCAGCGTTCCTAGATCAAAATAAATTATTTTTAGACAACAGTATGTAACAGAAACAAAATTTATACTAAAGTAACATGTAGAAAATAAACAATACAAGTAGCAGGTGGAAAATGTGATTGGCAAACAGAATATATTTGAAAAGCTGTTTTTGGGGACTTCTTTAACTGGTTTTCTATAAAAGAAAGATTGGTAAAGATCGTAGACCAGATTTAAGCGCCGCAAAATTGACAAATTTGATGCAATCCGTGATTTTTTTTATGCATTTGTGACCAATATTCATACATCCTTCAAACTTGGTGCATACGTTGTAATTATGGATTATAATGTAACTAAGGGGGGTGTTGATACGGTGGACCAAATGTGTACAACATATTCAGCTTCTCGCATCTCCAGGACATGGGCCTTGTGCTATATTTTACAGTTTATTAAACATAAGTAACATAAAAACAGAGATGCATAATCTCGCCAACTCTGTACAATGTACTTTCGAGATATGGACGTACGAATGTTAAGATATCGTGGATGGACAGAGTGACGAATGAAGCAGTTTTACAGCGCCTTAACAAAGAAGTATTCTGAATACTGTAAAAAGGAGAAAATTGAAGTACTTTTACTCACGTAATGAGAAATCGTCAATATGCATTACTACATATAATTATTCAGGGTCAAATTGCAGGGAAACGTGGTTCTGGACGACGAAGAACATCATAAGAAGCTCAAGAACCTCTGTCAGTGGTATGGAGTCAGCACCACGACACTATTTAGGTCCGCTACAGACAAAGTAAAGATCATGCAACCGATCGCCGAAGTTCTTAGAGGACAAGATACTTAAAGAACTTAAATTCAAACTTACTTTTTCTAAATGTTTTGTAAGATTAGTTTATTTGACAGAAAAGTTGGAAATTGATGACAACCACATCGGAAATTCGACATCTCGCAACTTTAACAACTAATGTGTAATTTTAAATTAAGTGTATAAGGTATTCTTAAGTATTTTACAGGTGTAATAATCTAAAACAGTTGCAGTCTTACATATACAAGGGAACAAGCAACATCTATACTCATGCAATATCAATATCTTCATCTACAGTTTCTACAAATTCTAAAAACATTGAAAATTTGTAGTTACCTGGCAGCATCTCTTTAAGAAAGCAATGAAATGTTAAAAATAAAACGTTAATATACAGTTTGATATGTACATTATATACAGAATAAATTATTGAAAAGAATTTTATATCTTTAGCAATCTGCAAAATTGATTAATAATCACAAAACATTTTTATCTAGGCACTATTTAAAACCTGTGAGATTAAACTGTGTTAAATTACGATTATGCCCGTATTCTTAAATATAATTGGCAGCTTATACTGTCGGCTCTTAGCTTGGTTTCATTATAAAGTGTACTCCACACTTTCTTTGTAACATACTGATTTGTGACAATAACATATAATATATAGACCCAGTCAATGGTGTATACAGTACCTGGCCAAACATTAAAAATTTGCATTTTTTTAAATTAATAATTGTTATCAACAGGAATATTATTTTTTTGCACAGCAACATTCAATATAGTATGGTAACATTATTGTACTATTTTAACGTTGGCAACATCGTCATATCCGCCATTAGTAGACAGCATTGCGTCCTGTCAACTACTGTGTATTTTATAACCTCAAATACTGTCTGTGAACATTTGAATTCTAAACGGTTTTGACTTGAAATTTTATTGCAGAGGTGAGTGATTTATCCTTTTTTAGGTTATAAACATATGCAGTGTAGTTATTGGTATAATTAAGGGTATTATACATTTTTAGATATAGAAAAACGCTGATCTTTCACCAAAACGAATAGGCCAGGTATTTGGACTCCTAAAAGCTGGACAAATATCTCAAAATGAAATTACAGCAATGGTAGGAGTATCAAGAAGTTCTGTAAGGAATATAAAACAAAAAATTGCGTCTTGAGTCAGTTTGTATCCAAAGCGTAAAGGCCACAACGGAAGACATCGTGTGACTACTCCTAAGACTGATCGCAAAATAAGAGATATTTGCCTAGTAAACAGAAAGAAAGCACTGCGAATGCTTACCCAGGAGATGGAAAATGAAGGAATTTGTGTTTCAGAAAGAAGAGTTCGTCGGACACTTGTTGAAAACAAACAGGTAGCTAGGACACCAGCTCGAAAGCCAAGGCTTACTCTGGCTATGGTAAATAAACGTTTCGAATGGGCACAAAAATACAAAAACTGGACAGTGGAAAACTGGGAAAAGGTATATTCGTGTTATTTTGCTTGAATATCAATAATAAAAACTAAAAAGCATGAGCATTTTTAAAAAGTTTGTTGATTTCAGGTCTGCTTCTCGGACTAATCCGTTTTTCAAGTTTTGAGAGAAAAAACGAAGTGTGTTCAGAGACTTCCCAACGAGAAATACAAGCCCATGCCCATGCATTGTACCCATCGGACTCATAGTCTGGTCTGTGGTATCCGGCAACGGCACAGGCCGTCTCTACGTGGTGGAAAACAAGATGAGACAAGACCAGTACCGGAAAGTACTCGAGACAAGACTTTTGCCATAGCTGCAGGAATGGTTTCCTGGAGAAGATGAACCCATATTTACGCACAATGGTGCCCCTTGCCACAAGGTTAAGAGTATTTCAACTTATTTAAAACAAAAAAAAAGTTCTTGACTGGCAGGCAACTCAGATGATATGAACGCTATTGAGAATGGGTGGGAATTACTGAAAAGGGGGATTACGAAAAAAAAAACATTACTAATAAAAAGGAGTTACTTGAAAAGCTCATATATGAGTGAAATTATCATCCTCACCTCCAGGAAACTTTATTTTGAGTCCCTAAAATTTAAGAGTAACAGTTTCCGAATAGAGCCCTGGGGGGTTTTAACCCCCTCTAGGGGCGCCACTGAGTGTTACAAACATTATTCCTGTTTACTGTTTTGATACGAAGTTGCACGAAAGGTTCACGATTTTTTACGAGGTTGACACATAATCAAAAAGTTTTGTTTATGTGTCATTGGTCTTGTTTGTCATTATTTGTGTTATAACATATTTTATGTGAAAAGAAAATTTTATTTTAAATTTTTGAAGGTCATTTATTTAATATTTTATTAAAATGCCATTTAGCATGTAGAATTCTCAACAATTTCAATTAAATTTTTTCTTTTTTTTTATTAAAATCATTTAAATACAATTTTTCTAACTAGTTTTTTTTTCATAGATTTCCTTTTGACAAAGAAAAACTCATTATAAAATAAATCTTCAACCTCCAAGTGATAAGTATCTATGACAGCCGATTATACAGCAAACAGAGCTGTCTGCTGGGTCTATATTATAATGTCATTGATTTGTATTGTGAAATAAGTGATTTATTTCTCAAACCAATTTCTTTTGCCAAATTTGGTATATCTGAATTAGAAATAACAAGTTTTTTTTAATCTACAAAAATATACAGGGTGTACCACTTAAATAAAAAAAGTTACGGGTATTTCCGGTAAACCGGAAGTAGAGTAGTAACAAAAATTGGCGTCAGATGCATCATGTGTCATTGTACTCGCATGCAAAGTTTCATAAATATCGACTTTTTCGTTTCAAAGATATTTATTTGCTACCATACTTTATCCTAACCCTGTATACAGCTAATACGTTTTAGATATATTATCTCTTCAATAATTTATCAAGCTAACATATATGTACAGAAAAAGCCTTAAAATACTCATTCATTACCTATTAGCAGCTTTCGTCTTGGCTATAGCTTCTTCGTGATTCTTGTACCAATCTTCTAATTCTTTCTTTGCTATTTCCCTCAATTCTTGCTTCTTTTTCTCTTCTTCTAGATCTAAAAAAGAAGAAAATGCAACTTAATTTGGCTTAATCATTTCACGTAAATCGCAAGTAATGGCTGACTATTTGAAAAAAAGTGGTTAAGTCACTTTTTGATGTTCCATGCATCAGATGTTTAATGGTTAGCTCGTTCATGTATTAGAAAAGAAATATTTTATTTTATTTTATTATGAAAACATACATATGAAAGAGGAGAAAAAAAAAAAAGAATATCCTAGTTAGAAAACCTACGAAATTAGTTTAATTTGACTACTACCGGTCAAGTATCAAGTAGTCAAGTCACTACCTGACTTTTTAGGGCAGCAGCCAATAAAGTCAAAATAGCCATGTTAGTGTCCAACATCAGGCACTATAGGCACCATAAAAAGAAGAAGACGTGTTCTTATCAAAATGAAATTCTCGTTGGAGAAAAGTTAATTCTTCACAATGGAAGAATATTACAAGAAAAACAGGAAGTGAGTACTGATTAGTGCCCAGCGTCTTTTCCCGCTACACCTGAGTATTGATAGGCCGCTCCCCGGTCTTATATATCTTTGGGTATTGACTTATCTTCGTTCGTCCTACCTATCTGAACGCCGCTAACATTTTCCGTTCACCAGGATCGACGTCGAGGACTGCTCACGTGTGTTTTACTCAGGAAGACTCGCATTCTTATTGTATGTATCGTATAGAAGTAAATTTTGTTTGTTTTTTATTTGAATATATTTTTATTTAAATTAATCTTGTCTTTTACTGACTCTGGTGTCTAATAAAGCTACCCTTCACAACCATTGACCAGTAGATAAATGATTTTCTATAGTAACTGAGACAAATAGTTTTCCAACCATGGAATCCTATTATTTCAGAGTGTTCTGCAAATATATTCTTCAGATGTGTTAATTAAATCTTACAGTTTAAGAAGCACCTATGCGTGGACCAAATTACACGTAAAAATGGCAGAAATAAGAACAGGTCTTATCGAAATAAGTTGGTTCTCCGATACCTGGTCCATGGTACAAAACCGCAATGTAAATTTATATCACATTTTTGGGAATCTGGTCAGTCTTATTTGGAAGTCGAATCCATCCACTGGATCCATCCACCATAACTGGTGGTTCAAATGGGGTAATGGTGCGAAAAATATGCTGTATTCAGTTAGCGTCACTAGCCTTTTCTACTCACTCTACGTGTCGAAACCTCGAAAACCTGGCAACTCTGTTGACGATTGCCGTAATCACCCCAGTAGACAACAAGGTCAGGATTAAGGAGAGCGGGAGAAATTGTCCCCCAAAGGATAGGGCGTTGGATTGAACATTAACTACCTCCTGGAAAAAAACGATAACTTGTGACTGTTCAAAGAAGAGAAACAGGACTGATCAAACGACGACGACTGTGCAAGAAAAAGTAACACGATTTGAGGATTGCGACACTAAAACGAATGTTCATTATGTATATTAAGTATGACTGCCTAAACATTTTCAAATTAATATGTTACAATCGGACTAAAATAAAAAAGGAACCATATAGTATACAGGAATTTCCCACCTCTAGTGCAAGTGAATAATCCTAGAAAATTAGCGTGTAATAACATTCAATTTTGAGCTATCACCAGTTAGTTTAGAAAGTAAGTATATTTGTATTGTATAAATTCCAGAAATTCCATTCCATTCTATTTATTTCATTTAGACCATAAACACGTTCACAGAACTATAACTAAATTCCTTGTGATTTATTTCATTTAGATTTGTTTATTATCAATGTAAAAACAGTGAGTGATAAACAGCAAAAACCGATTATGATTTATAAACATTCAAGGTGGACGCTGTTACACTGAACCATCCCAAAATGAATTGATTTAAATTAAAAATCGTTCTAAAAAAAGTACAAAAAAAAACGCTGACCATATTAGAAATACACACATCAAAAATGTCCTCGACATGATCGGTATATGGTAGGATTAAAATCGGTATGTGATCCTCGTCAAAATGTGCATATAACTGTACGTGAACTCTATAGGACCTTAAAAAATACCCACAACATTACTGTATGTAACCAAATTTTGAGAAATAGATGACATGAAACTGACCTGCGTGCCATATGTCCATTGAAGGTCCATGTTACTTCATGGAAATAGTGGACACAAGAACATGTGCAGTTGGGATACAAGAATGGAGTTCAATGTTAATAACATATGAATATAGGTTGTGTCTCTACCCTGAATAAAGAAGAGTGAAAGTTTAGAGGGGACAAGGTCGAAAAGAGAGACTCAAGGCATGTACAGGATGTTCATTCATATAGTGTCTACAAGTTTTGATCCTTCAAGATATGATTTTTCATCCTCGAACTGTTCCCATTTTGTAGAAGACACTTTGATTTATATTGACCTTATTTTAGAACCTGTTGTCCTTCCATTTGCTACTGCTACAGTCCCATTTGCATTACATGCAGGATAGTGCAAGGCCACATACTGCAGCAACAGTAAGAGATTGGTTTCATAGCGAGGATATTACACTTTTACTGTGGCCAGGACAATCATGTGGGTTACTGTGGGATATGCTTCAGAGACTGATTGCTCCTCATCTCCCTATAGCCTAGCCACCTATGCTTCAGAGATGCTGCAATGTGATCTGAACTGTTCGACAGTCAAATGAAAACAGTTGACAGTCTGACAGACAGTCAATAGAAACGACTCAACTAATAAGACTGATTGTTCACCCATAAATAAGATGTTAGTAGAATGTAACCATGTGATAATTAACTGTGATACTTAACCTCCTGCTAAACACAAAATTACTGTTATTACATTAAAAGAGTGCTTACTACTGCTAAAAACTAATAACTATATTAAAAACTAAACCTAGACAGAATAAAACAAGTAAAAAACACTAATACATCTAAATTCAATTTTAAGACAACTTTTGCAGACTAGAAATTTGTTTCAAAAGCAACTTTTATTTGTTTCACAGATGAATTTTAAATAAAACATATATCAAAACGATGTAAAAGAACATCTTGAAGAACAATTAGTAAACGAAACAGGAACTACAAAAATGTAGAAATACGACAAACAGCCAATGGCACAATACAACAAAAAAAAAAGGAAAATATCTCCCAATCTCTATATACGAACGGAGCAGTCATTAGATGTCGCAAACTTCCAAATAAATTTAATATATTTCTTAAATAGTATTGTTCTGAAGCTATTTTCTTGTGGCATTTTAAATTAATTACCATTGAACTTTTTATTACTATTTAACTTAAATTTTTTTTTAACAAAACAAAATTTGTTTAATTTACTGTTTGTATTTTGAGAACAATTTCCGAAGTGGAAATTGAAATGTCAATAAACGTATTTTTTCTTTAATTGTGGCTTATTCCCAGTTAAATAGTAATTAATCTTAAATAGTATTTATGTAACTCCCTTTAAATCTTAAATCTTAGTTTGTGGTTCTAAAGAAACAAAATATAAGAAACATTACCTTTTTCCTCCAGCCTCTTGATTTGCTCTTCCCTCCATAGCCTGATCTTTTCTGGTTCTACTCTATCTTCTTGCCTTATTGTAAGTGGGGACACTAAAATCAATTGTGATTATGATAAAGCCATTTTAAGCCAAAAGGCATTTTAAAATATAAACTGTGTTAACACTACCTATAGAAAAAATAAACTACAAGGAAGGTTTCAAATGCTAAATACAACATTACTGATTCATCTCCAAGGCAAGTATGAAGTAAAATATGTCCAAAACATCTGAATGGAATTGATAGCTACTATTTTTCCAACAGGTGAGTATGAATATTTTACACTTTTGTTAAAGACTAAATTCTTCAAAATGGAAAAGTTTAAAAATGAAATATTTTTTAAACTTTTTAATAATGTAAATATTGACCTAACACAATTGTCATCCAAACATTTAGTTATTTCAATCTAAAGAATAATGAGCAATTCTCTTTGATGTAGCACCCAAATCTGTTCAATTCGCAGTTATATGAATGCTTGAAGGTAACAATATATGTTTAAGGAACAAATCTATAATTAGTTATGATATCAATCATATTCGTTGACTTCTCTGGAGTCACTCAGATCGAAGCAGCTTTGACTTCTATGAGGGCACTAACTTAATGTCAACATTTCGTTTCCTGAATTTCAATTTTATCTTTTAGCTGTATCCCAGTTAACAATGCTGTAATATTGTCTCAAAGAATTTAGTTATTGTTCCAGTTTTTAGATCTTCAGAAAACAATGTATAACTTCATTAAGACACTGGAAATAATTGAATTTAAATAAATATTGCAGTATTATGCAGTCACACAGTAGTCCAATCGACATCTATACAAAAGCAGTTGATTGTAGTGAGTCAGATCTTAGATGTTTATAGAAATCTCAACTACAACTCCAAAAATATATCTATGACAAGACTGAATACTAGTAAAATTTTCGGAAATTAAATTTCATATTAAATAGAATGCAATTAGTAAAAATATTTCTCCAGCAAGTAGACATGAAAGCTAACCTTAATCAAATTTTAACTAAAATACTAAACGGAGCTGATCATAATCGTAAAAATTCCAGGCTCAGGTTTTAGTGTTAACTAAACTAAAATAAACTGCTGATACCAAGGGCTTTATGTGTCCTCATTTGAACAATTTTTGGTGTCAGCTGGCATCAATACCTGTTTCTCTGGTAAGTCACTTTATGCTATTAATTTATTATCAAAATGCATCAATAAGATCCAGATATATAAAATTGTATTAGTTTAAAGTCTTTCATTGTTTAAATACATCATTTGAAGCTTTTTAAGACAAACTTTAAGTTGATGGTGTATCCAATTAATATCTAAGTTCAGAATGGACATCAAATAAAGAAAAATGGATAAAGAAAAGATCATTATTAAACACAGATACACATAATAAAATACCTACGCACATATAAATACATGTGTAGAGGAGAGATGTTAATATAGCTCCCTAACAGGATATGTAAAGTCGCTAATTTTCTAGAGTAGTCTAAAATTCTAAAACAATCTCATATTGTGTATCATATTGTTTAACTACTGCAGAATTATTTTAGTTTTTTTGTCCATTCTTTATTTGTATTCTGTGCTGCTGTTAAATAGATATTTTCCTCTTTTTATGATTTCTATTACCATTTAAGGTAAATGATTAATCACTACTTGCAATTTGGGGCTGATATGCTAACAATAGATATATAAATGTGAAGTGACTTTCCTATAATCTAAATCACAGAAATTCAGCATTTTTTCTTTTTTTTATAAATACATATATTTCCCCAGTAAACTAGATTTCGGAATGGACTGTGTAAATTTATTTCTGAAACAGACTTTCTTCTTGACTTCTTCTGAAACAGTGTATGTTAGGTCAAAATTTGCCATTCTCTTTACAGTCCACACAAATTATACCTACATAAGTCAGGTTATCTTTGATAAAACCATAAAATATCTTACAAAATGTTTACTTGCATTGAAAATAAAATTTATGTAGAGCCAAATTTTAAGAAACTTATTAAAAACATATCTTACCTCTCTCCCTGTATTCTTTATCTGGATCAAAATCTGCTGGGATATCTGTTGAGGAAAAGAAAAAACATGCTGTTTTAACATATTACATTTCTGTGTTGGGGGTATGTATTTGGGGTATTAAAAATGTATGATGCCCAAATCTAGGTCATTGTCATTTTTTTATTAAAATAAAATACATCAATTTATTTTACAACTTACGGCATTTGTTACAATCATTTTTGTAAATTAATCTAAAAAGTCCAAAAAATTATACCTATTTAGGCAATTCCATTGTAGAAGTAGCTAAACCAGAGACTATTTATAAAGTGATTTTAATAAGTACACACAATTTTGAACAGGAATACCTAATTATGGGCCAGGTCAAAGTGAAATCAGAAATTTACCTATAACTACAATAATAATGTCACTTTTATTAGCCATGAAATATATTATCATAAAAAAATAAAATTGATGATTAAACTGACAATCCTAAATAACTACATCCAACTTCCATAGCTTGCAGTATGCCATAGCATATTAGAATATACAGAAACTTGAATATGAACAATGAAATATCAATATTTGTAACAAAAATGGAATCATTAGTGATCTCCAATGTTTCTAACAGAAAGCACACCTTAAGAAATAGATCGGGCACACTTGAAAGACTAATAGTTTCCCATCTTTAATTTTTTTTACCAAAACTGTGATTTTAAAATACTCTGTTATTTTTTACATATACATATTAAGTGAATCAATAGGATTACTGCATAGCTTAATCTGATTCCTAAAAGTAATCTAAAAATACTGACCAGGATGTAATGTCAGCACAAAAAACTAAAAGAGTTTCTGTGTATGAACTGTTATTTAAATTACTTAGATATCTATTAATGAAAAAACTAAAAAAACAGTGTTTTATATGTTTAAAAACAACTATTTTTGTCCATGTAGACTAATTAAACAAAAGCAATATTACTGTTCTGAATATTGTGCTGTATGTGAATGTTTATTGTTCCTAATGCAAAAAAGATGAACAGTAAAGCAAGAAAGCATAAATTAAGCAATCGACATACCATTAAACTTTGGTTCTTCCAAAAAAACATCTGGGCCATTGTTTTCTACCATTTCAAAACTGCTTGCAGAATTTGTTGGGTCATCTACAGATAAAGCAATATAAAATAAAAAAAATACATCTAAAGCATATAATTATGACATGCACTCTTTAGAGGTGCAATTAAAGAATATAGTGAATCGAAACATCATGCAAATGATATCAAAATGAAGAAGTAAAGATGAGTAAAACGCCCCTTTTTCAACTTACCACCATTAAGAACTGGAGCAATAATTGCGGCCGGTTTCACTTCATCTTCAAGACCTGCTAGTTCGTCTTGTTCGCGTGCCAAGAATTCTGCCGCTGGGTCTTCATCGGCAACTCCAAAATTGTCTCCAAATCCAGACATTCTTGACTTTGTTAATATTAAGGATAAGAAAAGCTGCAAAATTCTGACACTAATGACAGTGACATCAAATATTTTAATGTCAGGTCTGTCATTGAATACAAGCATTAATAAAAACAGACTCGAGTAATTTGTTTATAATTTATGTCCGTATGATCGGTAAATTAGGAGTACACTACTTAAAATGAATCTATCATCAAAACATAATAGAAAAGTTATATATTATATTTGTTTAAATATGAATATCATAATTAAATTATTCAGATATAACAAGTAAGACGTAAGCGGTAACGCAACTAAAGCGGTAAATGTCATTCACAATTTCACATTTCACATTACTACATTCTTCACGAACTGACACGAACAAAGTTCAGGCAGGTTCAGGTATTAATACAGGTTATAAAAGTAGGAATTTATTTAGATCATTAAACTTTTAAAAATGTCTTCAGATGCATTTGACTCTTTTGGTAGTTTAGACTCCAAAGGGGGTGATAAGGAACTTCAAGAATTTTTAATGGTTGAAAAACAGAAAGCACAATTCAATGCTCAAGTAAGTGAGGTTAATTCACGGTGCTTTATTAATGTGAAATTTATATTGGAAATACAAATTGTTACTTACAATAAGTATCCTTCTCAAGAGTTTGACCCATCACATAGTAACCTGAATGCTGATATTTTAATTGAAAGCTTCTTATCAATTCTTACTAAGATTTGAAAAATGTATTACATCTATTGGGTAAACAATAATTTGAGAATTGTTTATGACAGAAGCACTCCTTTATTTCGATATAAAAACAATAATTTTATAGGTTTTAGCTAAATTCATCTTTTATTTTAACAAATTATTGCTATTAAAATATATTCTTTCCTAGTTTATTCTAAAAGTTTGTATTTTTCAGATACATGAATTCAATGATTTCTGCTGGGAAAAATGTGTGGACAAACCCTCAAACAAATTAGATAGTAAAACAGAAACATGTCTGACAAATTGTGTAGACAGATTTATTGATGTATCTTTGTTGATCACAAACAGATTTGCACAGCTATTGCAAAAAAGTGGAGGAATGTAGTATATACATTTTCTAAATTTAAGTAGTATGAATATTGAATGTTAATGTGATTGATTGTTTAATTCTATGTAAATATTTCCAATATTAAACGTAATAAATTTTTAGTACAATTTTATTCTGTTAATTAGAACTAGAGGAGCTTCACATTCCTTTTTTGTGGCTCTTCTAGGTAGTTTAACCACATTCTAGCTTCAAGGAAGACTAGTTTATTTGATATATTGTTCATGTTTGATGTGGGCTTTTTCTGTTACCAATAGGGGAATGTGGAACTAACCTAAGTATTAAAGGTATTAAATATTAGCACCAGGGGCTCACAGTAGCCATGTGTGAGTCTTGTGAGTCCCTTTATTTCTATTCTTAATAAGATCTTCTGGACTCCCATGTGATGCATTCTCTGTACTTGGCGCAACTACCTTATTCTTCAGTATCTAATTGGAGCCATTATCAAATGACTGATTTTTATTATTTTGAATGATTTCAAAAATATGAAACTTTAAAAGTTACTAAAAATCACTGTATTAAGAAAAATAGAGGAAGAGTGGTAGTATTTTAGTTGGAGAACATAGCCTCAAAACAGAGAAAACACAGGGAAAATATTGATGTAGTATTGCTAAAACAAATATCTAAGTTGATAAAAAAAGTTACCATTCAGGAGACTGTACACATTCAAGTCATCTTTGGACAGATATCAGGCTATTTTAAGAATTCGATTACAGTCCCTGATGTATAATGCAATATACTTTGTTTTCTGAACCCAACCTGGACTATAGTAAATTTATTAATTCATTTTTGCTACCTTGATCAAATTTGGTGGATTATGACTGATAAACTTAGCAGCAGCTCTGAATATGATAGTCACTACCACCATAGCACCTATTTTGAACGCAAGAACATGCACAAGCTAACCTGGACCTCTCCTGATGGAAGAACAATGAGTCAATTGTTCTTATATATAATCAATATAATCATTGATCATATCTTAATAGATTCAAGGATGGAACAGATGTAATAAACTGCTGAAGTTATAGAGGCGCAAACATAGACTCAGATCATTATTTAGTGATCTCAACATTGAGTGCTAGAATTTCAAATACCAGTAAAGAAAATAAAATGGATACAAAATGCAGAACAGTGCAAAAGCGAAGAGATGCAACAAATGCAGAATGGTACTCAGAAAACATCACCAACAAGTTAAGGAATCAAAATGTAAATGAAGAAAGCCAAACAAATATAGACTCCTACTGGACCAGAATAAAGGACAACATTGAAGCAGCAGCGAAAGATGAAATATTAACAGAAATTTGTGCCCATTGTGGGTTTCACAATGAATGCAACAAAAGAAAAAAATGAGCCTACAGAAAGATGCTTACCTGACGAACTAGAACCACTGTAGAGAATTACCATTACCAATACTTTGCCCATATACAAAAAAGAAGATATCTTTGAATGTTCTAACCACAGAGGAATTACGCTTCTAAATGTATCATATAAAATATTCTCTACAGTACTATGACACCATATCCAGAAAGGATAGTAGGAAAATATCAGGCTGGTTTCAGAGGTGGTAAATCTACAATTGATCAGATTGCAACCCTGAAACAAATTTTTGGAAAAAACACTAGAATATGGCATTGATACTCATCACATATTTATAGACTACAAAGCAGCCTACGACTCTGAATAGAAGAGAAATGTTCAAAGCAATGAAAGAGCTAGGAATACCAAATCAGCTGTTAAATTTAACAAAACTAACTCTTGAAAAAGTCGAATGTAGAGTATGAATTCAAGGGGAACTGTCTGAACCTTTTAAAACAAATAACGGGCTGTGCCAGGGAGACCATATCTCCTGTATACTGTTTAATCTGACTCTGGAAAAAGCAATACATATGTCACAACCACTGGTTCAATATACAATAAATCAGTGCAAATCCTGGCCTATGCTGATGATATCAATATTGTTGGGAGAACGGAAAACGCTGTACGAGAGGCGTCTTCTTCTCGTGTCACTCCTAGCGGAGATTGGAAATCATCATGGCCACTACAACTTTGTTAGCAGCGCGCCTAAAAAGTTCAATCGAACTACACCCGAACCATTCACGTAGATTACGAAGCCACGATATTTTTCTTCTTCCCAGACTTCTTTTGCCCTGCATGATGTTTCTTAAAAGTTCGTACTTTTCACCTCTCACAATGTGCCCCAAGTATTCCATCTTTCTAGTTTTTATCTCATTTAGAATTTCGCATCTTTTGTCTAAAGTTTGGAGTACTTGCGTGTTAGTGACGCGGTCCATCCATTATATTCTGAGAATGCGCCTATAGCACCACATCTCGAAAGCTACGATGTTTTTTATGGTCAACTGTTTTAGTGTCCAAGCCTCAACTCCATATAACAGGGTAGAAAAGACATAACACCGCAGCATTCGTATTCGTAACTTTATATTGATGTCACGATTGCAAAAGAGTTTGCGCATTCTATTAAAGACTGATCTAGAGATTTCTATTCTACATCTAATCTCTTTTGTTTGATCAGTATCGTCTGTGATCCAAGCACCTAGATATTTATAACAGGGCACACGCTCAATCGTTGTATTGTCTATTACAAGATTAGCTCTGATGTTCTTTGATTTCGTGATTACCATAAATTTAGTTTTTTTCAAATTAATTTTCAAGCCGTAACTGTTACAGTATATATTGAGACTTTGAACGAGATGTAGTTCTACTAGCGTTCCCGTTAGAGGAACTGTATCGTCAGCATACCTTATATTGTTGATCGTCTCACCATTTATTATCAGAAAAAGATCTTCTTCCTCGAGTGCTTGTTCACAGATGGCTTCATTATACAGATTAAATCAAAGTGGCGATAAGATACATCCCTGCCGGACTCTTCGACGGATTTGAATTTCTTCTGTTAGTCTGCCTCAACCTTGACATTTGCTGTTTGATTCCAATATAGATTGCATATAATTCGAATATCTCGGCTGTCTATATTTTTCTTTATTAGAACTTGTCTTAGTGGTTCATGTTGTACTTTGTCAAAGGCCTTTTCGAGAAATCAATAAAGCAGGCGTAAATTTCTTGGTTCAAATGTCTAAGCATCTCTGTGAGAGAACGTTCATTGCAAACAGAGCCTCCCTTGTACCCAGCCCTTTTCTGAATCCCATCTGAGTGTTACTGATGTCTACGTCTAATTTCCTATAGATCCTATTATGGATTATTTTTAAGAACAGTTTTAGAACACTTTCGGTGTTAAATTTTCTCTCCCTGCCAACATTACGGCATGTTTAATATTCTCCCATTTTTGGTCTATGTTATCAGTATTTCTATTCAGTTTCTCTATATTTTGTAAATTTTCTTTGATGTTCACTATTGTTTTCTCTTTTATATGTTGTTCATTCAGTCTTCTCACGTCAATTTGTTTCTGTATGTGTTTTTTAATGATCTTTAGTTTTATTCTTAATGTGACTACTACAGGATTGTGATCCGAGCCTATATCTGCTCCTGGGTAGGTTTTAGCTGAGAGTATAGAATTGCGGAATCTTTGACTAACAAGGACAAAGTCAATTTGGTTTCTGACTACTCTACCTTTGGTGTCACTCGGAGATTTCCATGTGTACAGTCGTCTGTTAGGTAACTTGAAAAGATTGTTAGCAACTACTAACTCCTCCGCTTGACAAAAATGTACCATACGGTCTCCTCGTTCGTTTCGTTCTCCTAATCCATAATCACCCACATAACCGTCCACACATCCATGTCCAATTTTGGCATTAAAATCGCCCATTACTACTGTAGTATGATGTTTCTTCATTGATTTTAGAATTTGTTCCAGATCGTAATAGAAACTTTCAATTTCATCATCATCTTTATCAGCCGTAGGAACATATACTTGTATAATATTTATAATTTGTTTATTTGACTGAAGTTGTAGTGTCATTATTCTATCAGAGAAGGGAGCAAAGCTTGTTACACAGTTACTGATTTTCTTTGATACCAAGACAGCGACACCGTAACGATGAGTTAAACTGATGGTGCCTGAATAATAAAGTGTTCCACTGTTACTTCGTGCATTTTCCTGATCCTGGCCACTGTACATCACTTATACCTAGGACATCAATTTTAAGGTTTTCCATTTCAATGGCTACATTATTTAATTTACCTGCTGCAAAGAGGCTTCTTACATTCCACGTCGCTATTCTTAATAACTTAAGGTGATTGATATTACTTACACAGGGATTTCGCTGGTTCACGACCTGAGAGGCCCTATGGTGGCGTAGGGAGAGGCGTATGTAGCATTAAAAGAATCAGCTACAAAAATTGGTTGGACAACCTTCTCCTCCAACCCGCCCAAACATGGTTCAGAGACCTGGGCTCTAACAAAAAATAATGAAAACATGTTAGGATGTTTCGAAAGAAAAGTACTAAGGCCAATCTATGGAGCAGGGAATGACAATGGAGTGTGGAGAGGACGATACAACTTCGAACTTTATAGAATATACCAGGAACCTGATATTCTAAAACATATTAAGATATGACATCTGAGGTGGATAGGGCATGTAACGCGGATGGAACAAAATGACCCAGCTAGAAAAACGCTCCTTGATAGACCCATTGGCCAAGAAGAGGAAGACCTAGAACAAGGTTCCTTGATAACCTCGATGAAGACATGAGAAATATAGGACTACGTGATTGGCGGAGAAACGCGATGGATAGGGACGACTGCAGAGCAATTCTTGAGGAGGCATGACCCACGTAGGGTTGTGAAGACAGCATGATGGAAGTAAAACATTAATCATATGCAGTTTATTAACAAAATAATAAAACTGCATCAATTAAAACGAAATTAGAGTTTCAATACTTATTTTTGAAAATTTATAGACCTTTACAAATTGATATTTACAAATGGAAAATTTTTAATCAAATTAGTAAACATACACTTCCATTATTAATGGTTATTTTCTTTTTTCTATTAAAGAAGTATTCAACAGTAAGTTAGGTAGAAATGTTTGTGTTATAATATATGTTTCCGAAAATAAATTTGTCAAAAAATTCCCCAGCTAAGCGAACAGACTAACCTTGACTATGCTATAAATTTATACAAGAAGAAGAAACCTTAATATAGGCAAATGTTATCACATGGCTAAATAGACGTTATTGTTCAGGTACTTGACAAGATGAGTCATGTGATATACACATGTACAACAGTTGAAAGGGCGTTACCTTCATTATAGTATAGTAATGTATATACCTCTATAAATTGCTGTTTTTGATAGTAGTGAAGTGTTTTATTGAACTATACAATCTAGTACATAGTGTCAATTTAAAAACCCTTACACCGTGAGACCAATTCTAATTTTTGGATACAAATTAGAACTGTATCTAGTTTTAGTGTAAAAATATAAGTTTGGTCATCATAATGGAGTCCATATTTAAGTTCGCAGAACTTCTAGTATTGGATGGCAAAATCTCAGAAAATTGGCGTAAGTTTAACCAAATGTTTGATTGATTCAGTGAACATTGAAACCAAAAAGTAAAAACGAGCAGTTCTGCTTTTTAACCTAGTAGGCGATGAATATTAATAGATTATTCACTAACGATCCAAATCAAATATGAATTTGTACACTGGTTTATGCGATTCTAGAATTTATTACGACCCGATTTTTTTTAAACCCAAATCGAACGTCACTAAATCTGCCAATTTCCTTATAAGGAGACTAATTTTAAAGTATATATTTTAATACAAAACTTGATATACCCAACTAAAAATTTTATATCCCTTTGAGGCATTATTATAAGCTACAGTCAGCAACCTCACAGTATCTATTTATTCATTGACAAGTCTATTTTTAAGACTAGTGAATTCGATTCCTCAGATAATACGTATTTGCTAGCTACGAAGCGTTGATGCTTTCTTGACAATAACATTGAATATTTTCGTCTGGACAGATAAAGAAAGAACGTGCACCAAAAAGCAATTTGAATACTATCGATCTCCAATGACAACGTAACTTTTGAACACTAATTCAGCGTTAGAGGTAATTATTTGATTAACTCATTCGTTTAGTTATGGGCACCTACAACAAAGTTTCTTCTTATTCTTCTTCTTCAGCCTTAAGTAATCCAACTTTGGACATAGGCCTCCCCCAAATCAATCCAGTGTTTTCTATTTTAGGCCACTTGCTTCCAGTTGTGTCCTCCGCTCTTCTTAATGTCATCAGCCCATCTCATTTGTGGTCTTCCTCTGCATCTCTTTCCTAACCATGGTCTCCATTGTTCTGTTCGTGGTTCCATCTCTTATCCTTCAGTCGGGCATTGTGTCCTGCGAAGCTCCATTTTAATTTGGCAGCATGTTCTCTGCTTCATTTATTTTGGTTTTGATCCGAGCATTGATCTTTCCATCGCTCTTTGTGCTTTTACTATTTTATCCATATTAGACTTGGTGAGTGTCCACGTCTGTGAACCATACGTGAGTATAGGGAGGATCATCATCATCAATCAGCCAATCGCGTCCACTGCTGGACATAGGCCTCCCTCAGTTCTTTCCAGTATTCTCTACACTGGGCCGCTTTTAGCCAGTTTCCCGCTACACATTTTATATCATCGGTCCATCTAGTCGGTGGTCTTCCTCGGCTTCTTTTATAGTTTCTGGGCCTCCATTCCATAATACGTCTTGTCCACTGTCCATCTTGTGCTCTGGCTAAGTGCCCTGTCCAGTTCCACTTAAGCGTCGTGGTTCTTTCGATGACGTCTTGAACTCCTGATCTTTGCCTGATTTGTTGGTTTGTTATGTGGTCTCGAAGGCTCACGTTCAGCATTGCAAGTTCCATGGCTCGTTGTGTAACTCTGAGTTTAACTCATAGGGAGGATACTCTGATCCTAAATTCTGGTTTTCAAATATTCTTCCATTTTAGTGCTTTTCAAGATCCATCTCAGTTTTCCAAATCCTGCCCGTGCTAACCTTATTCTTCTGGTAATTTCGGCAGTTTGATTTTCTTCGTTAAATTTCATTATCTGTCCTAGGTAGATGTATTCGCTTACTGTTTCTAAGTTTATGTCGTACAACGTTATTTGTCTAATGTTCGGTGTATTTGTTATTATTCTTGTTTTTTCCAAGTTCATCTTAAGACCTACTTTTTCCGAAGCTTGAAATAGTTGCGTCATCATGGTCTGTAGTCTTTGAAACTTGTAGCGAATATAACAATGTCATCAGCGTATCTCAAATGTCTCAGTTTTCTTCCATTAACATTTATTCCTTTATCTACCCAATTAATGTCTGTGAACACGTCTTTCCAGTCCAAGTGTGAATAGCTTTGGTGAGATAACATATCTCCTGGCGAACTCCTATGTTGATGGTATAGCTTTGGTTTTCGTATCTATTTGTATTTTCATTGTAGCTTTCTTGTAAATATTATGTATGAGCATTCTGTATCAGGAGTCTATCCTGCAGTTGTTCATAGCTCTCTCTCTCTCTCTCTCTCTCTCTCTCTCTCTCTCTCTCTCTCTCTCTCTTGCCCAAAGTTCTATGGAGTTTAATGCCTTTTCATAATCAACGAAGCCAATGTATAAGTTCAAGTGATATTCATTGGCTTTCTCTATTAGCTTTCTGACTGTAAGAAGATGATCCGCTGTACTGTAATCCTTTGGGAACCCTGCCTGCTCTGATAGCTATCGAGCTTCAACAACAAAGTTATGCAAGAAAAATTGGATAGAGGTCGAACTATAGCAATAAGCAAAGATTTGTCATAATTTTATAAAATCAGTATTTTGTTAATGCAACAACGAGAAGTAAGACTTTCGCAGAGGTGTGGTAGATGTGGATATAGTCATTCTACAGAAGTCCGAAGTCCTATTTGTGGACTTCGGTCTTCGCAACAACTTTCAAACCAGAACAGCCACAAAAAAGGAAAAATAATTAAAGCAGAAAGCGTGTGAACTAAAAAAAGCCAGTGCAGTGATACCTCGAAGTTGAAAAGTGAAAATGCTAGTGCTTGCATGTGAATTTCTGTACCTTGAAGAATATTGAGATACCTACTACTATCTTTTATCAGAAACGTTAGATGTTCTGGAAAGCGAATTATTTACTGTAAAGTATATACTGCACTTATTGCATTATGGAGAACCAAGTCGATACCAAAGCCCTGGCGGAAATTCCTTGAAAGTGATCGTCTTGCTGAAGCAGTTACAGACCGATCTCGCTACTATGCCACTTGTTCAAGTTGTTTGAAAGAATGATAACACTATTGTCGAAAACACTATTAAACAAAATCCAATCCCATAGTAATCAGGATTCGGCCAGGAAAATCACGCACTGCACATTTGTACTCACTTGTCCTAAAGGTTTACTAAAGATAACCACACTAGAGCTACCTGGACCACCACTAATAACTGCTGTTGCCCCTGTACATTTGAGGAATGTCTTTTGCCAGTCATAATTTCACCCAAAATAATTTCATTCCATATTAATTCATGCAATTGAAGGTATCGACAAAATGTTTGTAAAATTCCTCATATTGCGAGATTATATATCCATTTTGGCCTGCAATTTATTATCCATAATTTAAGTTACATTGGTTTACAATAGTAGAGGCACAAGCTGCTTTAACTAAAGAAGACTTAGAGCAGATTTTTCATTATTGCTTAGCTTATTCAGCTTATCGCATTCTCAAAATACAGAATCAACTCACTTCCTATACAAGTAATGACCAGTAGACATACTATAGAAACATTTTGGATTTTAATGATAATTTAAGAAAAAATATTACGATGCTGGACAGCAATTCATTAGCGCCGAAAGTGATTATATTGTCTTTTGGCAGAATTGTCAATGCTTCCAGAAGAAATGCTTTCTCTGATACCAACTTTGAAAAACTATTTGTTAAGCAAAACAATAATGTAAACGTAGAATTTATTAACTCAGTTATTTCATTATGTAAACAATTCTCCAATTTTTTTCATACTTGGACTAGAATTTCAACTTATTTCACATATTATATTTCTCAACCAAATAAATTTTGACTATTACTCAATTTTGTCACAATTGATGCCAATAAATTGCGTAAGTAAATAATAAATTAATTAAGATTAATTATAATCCCTTTTTCTTAACCATGTATTCTGTAATTGTAATTATTATTTTTATAATGGGTTACATGAATTCGTAACTACCCAGATCTGATAGTAATATAGTATAAAAGTCCGTTATCAAACGACAATAAATAATGAAAACATTTTGGTTTTTAAAAGACAACATATCTTAATCATAGGTTCATTTAAAGTTGAGATTTATATTGCTTGAAAGATGAAAAGAATTTAAACTACGTAGGGAAAAATTCAAAGTTTTGAAGAATCACAAATTTTATTAACTTCACATTAACTTACATAACTGTAAATTTAATTTCCGTTGTATCTAATTACAACAATGTGTAACGAACTTTAACCGAACAGTTATATCCGCATTTAAAAGTGAATCTGTTTTTGGTAGAAACCACATTACATTTACATTAGACTTGTGGATGTTTGCAGATTTAGAAAAAGGCAGTTATCTGCTGTTTATCTTCTTTTTGTAGATCCACTTCAAAATTTAAATAACTCAACTTGCCAGCTCATTCTGTTCCTTGTTGTTGATTCATTGTCAAAATCTGACATGTACAGGTTATTTCAATAAAAGTAGTGAAAAAATTCTACGATTTAACTTATTTTAGATTTATCAACAATGTCTGATGAATTAGAATTTGAAACCCTTGAACCATCTCTCAGAAATGTAATAGATCAAACCACTCTAAAATGGATTTTTGTAGGCGGTAAAGGTGGTGTGGGAAAAACAACTTGCAGGTTTGTATTCTAATTTGCTTAATTTTTCATAATTATTGAATCCGATTTTTAGTTGTAGTTTGGCAGTGCAGTTGTCAAAAGTGAGGAAAAGTGTTCTAATATTGTCCACTGATCCTGCTCATAATATTTCTGATGCATTTGATCAGAAATTTACCAAAGTGCCTACCCTAGTAAAAGGCTTTACTAATCTCTATGCTATGGAAATAGATCCCAATGTAGGGTTCAACGAATTACCAGATGAATATTTTGATGGTGAACCAGATGCAATGAAAATGAGTAAAGGTAAATCAGTTACAGGTCTTAGTTTCTAGAAGTTTTCCGAACAAGTCATTCTGTTTAATTTTTCTGTGAAAGAGAAAACAAAAATTGTTGTACTTTCTTTTTATTATATTCAAAAAATACTGTCATTGTTTCAAAATATTGTATTATTCTATTCATTTGAAAAAGTGTTCACCATGACTCCAACAAAGTGAGAGTTAAACAGTCCATTTGAATTAGTCAAGGTCTACTAATCTATTTTTTGGCTGTCTATTCCAAAAAGAGACCTTTCACTAATTGCTCTTTAAAAGCATTAATAACATTTTCAAATCTTAACTAGATAATGTAGTAGATATTTGTTGTTAGATCTTTGTGTACTGTCTTACTGGTATTGTACACCTTTTCCTTTGGTTGGCATTTACTCTTCTTGCTTTGGTCCTTTTGAGTGGTGTTTTAGTTGCTGGTCTCTAGACCTCATGATCCAAAATATACTGTATTAATGGTTTCACTATAGAACTGTCATTTGAGAAACTAAGCTATTTTTTTTGGTTTTATTTGAATATTAACAACCTCTCATAACATTTTTATATTCTTTATCTGCTACTGTTGACTATGTATATAATTTACTTGAAGAATAATCTTTTGTGTACAATTGATCTGTTAAATGATACTTTAAAAATAAATTATTTAATAGAAATGATAATTATAGATGTTTTTATCATAAACTAAGCTAATAAGTAGAATGACTATTTCAGAAATATAATAACCAATTGAGACAATAATTGTCCCAGAAGTGTTGCATATTTCTAATTATTGTCTTTTAGATGAATAGTAATGTAATTTCTTCAATGATTTAATTGTTTTCAGATGCTATCACTTCATTTGGCTAAATCATGACTTTTAAAGTAATTCTTGCTTCAAATGGAAGCATCATGTTACATTTTTATGTTGGAATGTGGCGATAAAACAATTTTGTAGGATAAAATGTTCTGATTGTTTTAATAGTATAAGTTTTGGTCATTTTTTCTGTTAATTTCACTCATTTACTTGAGACATTTTTCATCTAAGTAATATTATGTACAATTATAATAAATTATAAACAGTTATGTTTAAATACAACTAAACCTATATAAACTTATCAGGACTAGAGTGAAAAGCACTTATCCAATTGAATTACTTACTGCTGTTTCTGTTGTGTCTATTGTTTTCAATAATGCAATAATTTTCATCTTAATATTTTCAGGAATTATTCAAGAGATAATTGGTGCCTTTCCTGGAATAGATGAAGCTATGAGTTATGCAGAGGTAATGAAATTAATCAAGGGTATGAATTTTTCTGTTGTGGTATTTGATACAGCTCCAACAGGTCACACATTGCGACTTTTGTCATTTCCACAAGTAGTAGAAAAAGGATTAGGAAAATTACTGCGACTGAAGCTAAAAATTTCACCTTTAATATCACAAATAAGTGGTCTTCTGGGTATTCCTGATTTTAGTGCTGACAACTTCTCATCGAAGTTAGAGGAGATGTTAAACATTATAAAACAAGTTAATGAGCAGTTTAAAAACCCTGATCAGACTACTTTTGTATGTGTTTGTATAGCAGAGTTTCTATCTCTATATGAAACAGAGAGATTGGTTCAAGAATTAACAAAGTGCAAAATTGATACACATAATATTATTGTCAATCAGTTGTTATTGAATGTAAATACTAGCGAATGTAAAATGTGTGCTTCTAGATTTAAAATACAGGAAAAATATTTGGATCAAATCAATGATTTATATGAAGACTTCCATGTTACAAAGTTGCCACTTCTGGAAAAGGAAGTTAGAGGTACAGAAAGTGTAAGAAAATTTTCAGAATATTTGATAACACCTTATGGTGGCTAGTATTTAGATTAACTTTAAAATCATTTGCACAATTTATGCAAGATGCTCACTTATCCTAAGTACCTCAATAAAGAATTTTGCATAATTTTTTATTTTATATTATTTAAGTTACATTGTTTTATTTTGGCTGTATAATTTCCGATTTTAAAAAGCTCATTTATCAATGTAGGCAACTGAACTAATAATACATTCAATGCACATTTTTTGTTAACTTATAATACTCCCTTGTTTGTGCAATCTACTATAGTCTGATGGTTTTTATTTGTATATTAATGAAAATGTTACTTTTTTGTCTCTTATGAGAATAATACCATAAAAATAGAGGAAATGTAAACTTTATTAATATTTTTCGATATTTAAATTAACGCTTAGTATAAAACAGATGGTACACATAAAGTTTTTTATCTAAAATTATTGTGCCTCTAAAATAAAGCCTACTAACACTTGAGCTTGAGCTTTTTGGAGCACTCCTTTATATTGATTAGGCTTCTAAAAAGGCTTGGAGAATTTGGAGATCTTCTAAACTCTTGTTTGTTGTTATTAATGCGAATATTTTGTTGAATGTTGGCATTCTATGAGGATGCTTGTGGAGCGAGAGCAATATCTTTGCAATGGGGACATAATGATGGATCTTCAATGGACATAAGATAAGTATGACTTAACAGTGTATGTCCTATGCTTTGTCTTCATATTATAATTTTTTCTTTTCTTGTCTGAGATGCTAGGAAGAATGGATTACTTAACGAGGTACAATAGTTGACTTTTTTAAACTCAGGTCTATTATCATATTCAGTTCATGAAGTTGTTTGTCAAATATGGAAATTACTTTCGATTTTTGAAAAAAAATCACAAAACTATTATTAATCCATGCAGATTCCCCAAAATAACACTTAAGACAATTATTTAAAAAATATGGAAATACAGAGATTATATATTATCTGAAAAAATCTGCACAAATTATGTAGGTACTTAATATATTTCATATTTTACCTCTTTTCTGAAACAGGCTTTCGTTGAAAGTTATTTCTGCTGAGTATATTAGAACTTGTGGAATCCACTAGTTTTGAATATATGTCTTGTTTTTTCAAATGCTGCTCATCCTAAACTTACTCTTCTGAGCGGGTGAGACTTCTGGTTGTGTGGCTTATATTTATTTTTCATAACATATTTGTATATCAGAATGAATTGATAGAGGCTTTGTTACCTATCTCGATTAGTAGTTTCATAGGTCACTGTGTACTTTTTCATATTTGGCGTAATAAATACATTTTTTTTAAATATATTCCTTGTAATGTTCTATACAATTTTTTTTCTTTCGTAATTTATTTGTATAATATATATTACATGTATTTTTTTGTAAACTGCAAATATTAGTATTTTATCATTTATAGAGGTGTTTTATTTATATTTGTAATATACTTTGTTATAAGGAAGAAATCTTTTATTTCAAACTAAAATACCATAAAGAACGACATTTGACAGAATGAAATCAATCCAAAAGTTGTGATTCTCTTATTGTATAATAGTAAAAGACATGGTCTTAGTGATGTTACTTTCTGCATATACGATGAGCTCCATATAACATATAATTTATTGCTACATCACAAAAAATCCCGTAGGGTCATGAAAAAAAGATTATGACGTAGACTCAGACGTACCAAATAACTTTTATTCTGTATGAAATGATGTGTGTTCGTTGGAGAATTAAGTAACGAAACTCTGAAGAAAATGCACAAGTTTATTGAGTTGTTAACAGCTTAGGGTACAAAACGATACTAACTTAACTAATACAAACTATTTCTTAAAACCTTTCATAGTCCTTGAACATATCGCTGACACCTCGAAATTATCATCGTGGGTGTTTATCATGTCTGATGTAGTCTAAATATTGAAATAAAAACACACACAGTGGCGTGCTCACCATAACACCTCCCTCCTAAAGACCGAAGCTGGGGTGTCCAAGAAGGGCTTCTTTTACAGCTTCGAAGTTTTGGCGCCTCTCTAGATATACTCTGCACAGGGCAGGTAGGGCCACATGGAACAAAAAAACCAACCGGTAATAACTCATTGTACTTTTGTTGTTATGAGAAGGCCGTAGATGAAGTGTACCACAAGGTAATCGAATTATATGTTGCAGTTATTATTGATTAAAATCCCTTTATAATATGGATAATGAAAGCTCATACCTATTACTTGCCGTGTTACACTTTAACTTCGTTTAGTTAATCGCATCATAAAATGGTTTTACATGATTAAAATGAAATTTTCGAATAACTTTGTTATCTAACTTAATTTTTAGAGTTTTATTGGTTTCGTTGACTTCAATATGGTCCTGTATTTAATACCGATTTAGGTGTATTTGGATTTCTTGGTCTTTTTAAGAGAATCTTATCTCCAACTTTATACTTTACTTCCAAGTTGCTCGTATTTAAGTTATCAAAACGGTTGTTTTGCTTTTTCCTTTGATCGCATTGTTTTACCCTTATATTTTCTAACTGATTATTATACGAAATTTCATCAAATTCCCTATCATTTTTATATGGTAATATTAAACTATAGGGGGTAGTGGATGTTGACTGATGTTTACTAGAATTATATGAGTGTATATCGACTAAAAATGCATCTTCTAAGTCGCACTGGTTATGTTCTAAAAGATAGCTTCGCAAAGTATCTGTTATGGTAACATGGAAACGCTCAATTATACCGTTAGAGGCATGGTACTCAGACGAAGTAAAGTGCCATTCGATATTCAATGAATAAATAAAACTTTGCACCTTTTTCTTATTAAATTCACCGCCGTAATCTGACATAATCATCTTAGGAAGGCCAAAAAGCGAAAAATAATTTCTTTAATTTACTAATTATCGTTTCTGGGTTTTTATCAGTTAAAATATACGCTTGCGCAAATTTTGTTAGATTATCTATAACGATGAGCATTTTTTGTTTATCAAAAAAGAACAGGTCTACAGATAAAGCCTCAAAGTGGTTTCTCCGGAGAATGCCTTACTTTAAACCTTGACTACGATTCCTACGATCAAATTTTGAGAGTTGACAATTATATACATCTTTTTCCATTTATAAAGTGGTCGAATTTTGTCTGCAGTTTTATTAATTCCTTTGTGATAATTACTCGGGTCGTTGTGATATTCGAAAATTATTCTTTGCCTATCTTCTACAGGCGGCATAATAACGATATTTTTACAAATTATAAAGTTAACGTCTGGATAAAAGATAAAAATTAAAAGTTTGAAAATAACGAAACAGAGTAAACAAAAAAATGAAAAGAAATAAAAAAAAATAATATAATTCGACTAACCTTACGTGAGAACGTGACGGAACGAATCGAAAACGTTGCAGCGTCTCAGATCAAGTGGATTTACACTGGAACTTGTCGAAATTGCTAGTTGCGTCTCCCCAGAACTTCCGAATTACTTTGTGGCTTTACACCGGATCGAGAGTAAACCTCTTCAAACGGACTACAGCTGGTAACTGAAATGTGTACATCTTAAAATTTAGCTATCTTTATAGGTAGATTCTTCACGATCGGGAGAAGGCTGTTGGTTACGGGAAGTCGAATACTTAATGTTCCTAGAGGCGAAAAGAGTTACGCTAGTAACTCAAATATCCACAGGTAACCGTCGAAATCATTGACTCATCTTTCTAGTAAGGATGTTTCTATACTGTGCTTGTTGTTTTGACGTAAGTATATCCCGCTTAGGCATCTTTTACCTCTTCAAGGTATGTTTATGGTACCTATTGTCTGTAGGTTGCTTATTATTAGTTGATCTGGTCTAGTGTCCTGTGGGATTAATGTTTTGTAGGCATCCGTTCAAAGTTGCAAAGTAGAACATTAAGAAGGCCGACTCTCTTCTTTACCTTGTCTAGTGTTGATTTAGTGGAACTATAAAAGAACACATACCAACAATTTTATTGTTTGGGCTTTGCCTAGCTCTTTGTCAGATCTCTTTGTACGTCTTATTTTAATGTAAATTATACAATGAGAATTTTGGGAGGGACAACTAAAAGATTATACTAAATAGCCATTTATTAAATATAAAGAATTTTTATTATATTAATAAACACTACTGCTTTACTACACATAGTGTGTGGTCGCGTCATCTGTCCTTAGCCCGCGATAAGAGCGCTATGCTTCCAAATACTACAAAAAATCTTGTTTTAGCTGGCAGCATGAAGTGAAATGTCTTGCCTTGCCATGAGGTTCCACAAAATAATGGTTATAAAAAAATTAGCAATAGCAATATGATGTACACAACAGTCGATCACTCTGTATAAATATATTATTAATGTAATATACTTTTCAAGATTTTCATCTTTCAAAGAAAATGAGGATGTGGCTGTCACCTGATTCTGGTCCATCGAAATAACGAAACTTTGATACCATTAGATATTATAACAAATTTAAATATTGACATATCTGAGCGATTTTGTTTTATCTTCAAAATAAACGAGTTACCAGTGGGGTAGGATTTTATCCTCTCACTGTATATGCTCCTCATGAATAACAGGATCTAGTTGCCTAAGGATTTTACGATTGATGGAATCTTTGACTATCTATCTTTTTTACTATATATAAATCATAGTTATGTTTATCTACGGTGATGATCTAAAGGGCATTTGGTTTATAATTGTTCTAATAAAAATTTGTAATCCAATTATCCACCTCTTCTAAGGTATCTCACAATGGTCCTCACTATTGTAAAAACTTTTGATCAAAAAAATTCGAAAGTTAATAAAAAATTTATTTTATTAAATAGGTATACAATTATAAATAAATAAGCTTTGATTAATACATGAGTGTAAGATATTTATTAAATCCTTTATTTGACTTTTCCGTTTGCTCATTGGTAGCTATGTTTAAAATTTCTGATGTGGAAGTTGAAACTGAAGTAAAAAGAATTTATTTCACAAACTGTTTCATCTAAAATATCTGTTTATTCACAAAATATTATTTGCAAAAAAGCTGAGATGCCAGAAGAACAAGAAAGGTATTATTAATGCACATATAAAAATTAATAAGAATAAAAATTATAAAAACATCTAAAGCGTTCGACCTCCTTCTCTTAGATGGACCCAATCAGGTAATTTGTTGCCTTTAAAATAAATTTCTTTCGTTACTGCCTTCATGTTCAAAAGCTCAGTTGCCCCATATATTGCACCTAAAATAAAGAATAGAAGTTTGTAACTGTCAAATAAAGATAGATGATTTAAAAAAAGGTTACAGTTCCATAGGTTTAATTTATTTTAAATCGAACAAGACATTCATTAATTACTTTTCAATATGATATTTAATTTGTATGTCAAATAAAAAGTCACATAATAATTTCAATAGCATTATTGCAACAAAATTTTCAATAATTTTATTGAATTCAAAAAGCACAAAATATTTTAATCACAAAACTTTCAATATTTCATTTTAGAGGAAAAACAAATAAGGTTTTCAATACATTGGTTATACCAGGCCTATTTCTTTTACTCCCATTGGCAGTACAGTTTAAATTTTATGTTTGCCCCTTGTAATTTATGTCCTCTCTAAGTTCTAACACACATGAGGTTTGTATCCACTGCCATTTTACCCTCTAATCTTTTTAGCTGTCTTCAGCTCTGTATTTTGTTGTCTAGGCCATTTTTTAACAATCAGGTGTCACCCATCCTCAATACATGATCAAACCATTCAAATATCTCGAACCTAGTGAGTTCTGACAGGTGTTGCTTGGAATAGTTGGCAAAGGTCATGGTTGTCTCTAGTAGTTTTGTCTTAAATTCATCTCTCTTCCAATGTAGCTTCACAATTATCTATCAGTCTTTCCTGCTTGCTTCCAGTCCATCATACCTTCAACTTAATGTTTAAATCTTTTAAGATGTTATCTCTCCATCTAGGCCTACCTGGTCCCTTACTGACTGGAAACTTTATCTTTTCGATGAGAACAAATTATGGGTAAAGAAGTTGTTTTGCAAAATATTTTTAAAATAATTGTTTTTTAGTTTCATGTGCTTTTAAGGATATTTTCGGTAATTCTGTGATTCTTATAGTTTAAAAATTGATCAATTAATTAATAATCATGAGTCTGCCACAGTTAACAATTCTAAACTTACCTCCTAGCCATGCAGTATAATTTTCTTTGCACGGAGCAGAATGAAAACCAAATCCTTTCAAATGTAATTTGCTGTAACGTTCATTTTTCAATTGATGCTCTAGTTCTTCTTTTAATCTGGCTTTGAAACCTGGTATCATAGTTGTTCCACCAATTAATAACAAATTCTCAGATAATTTCTGTCTAAGATTTAGATCTACTTGTAATATTGCATCAAGTATCATAGTTGACAAACAGTAGTGATCATTATCTTCCTCATACAATATTTCAAAAGTTCTTTCCCTGACTTTTCCAGTAACTACTATACTCTCTGTTCCACCTATAAAGAAACAATAAAAAAGTTTAAAGATAGACAAATACAATAAATATATATAATCTAAAATTGTTCATTTGAAAAATGTATGCTTTTGAAATACTCTGAAGAGGAAAAAAAATGTCAAAATAAATCAATATTCATTCAAATTGTGGTTAATTCCGATTAAATATAATAGATAATATTATAATGCTACAATAGAATATCTTCAAAACAAAACGAATATAAGGCAATAGCATACATACAGTTAATAAGGTAATATCAAAAGCTAATATGCCCTAAGCAGATCATATGAAAAATCGAGAGGCACTAATGAAATGTAAATCAAAGTTTAATTTACATTTATTTTCTGTAATAACAATTATACATATAATTGACCTTACCTATTGGATATTTCACATCTGGACAAGCAACTATATCAGGTTTTGCTTGTGCTAATTGTTCAGCTCTATTTTTCTCTGTTACAAAACAACATCTTACTTTAATATCCTCCAATGTTTCTTCTGATAAATTTTGTATTCCTGTGTTGTTACCACTAAGCAGTGTTCTCAATTTGCTAAAAAATAATGGTTTAACAAAGGGTACACACACACACACAATCTTATTAAGAAAAACTTGAATGGATCACACTAATTAATACTGAAATCTATAAAGGACTGAAGAGTCTATTGTTCTACTTCAATTAGTAGGTGTTATAAAAATGATACTAGATGATACTGAAAACAAGGTGCTTGTAGTAAATAGGTAAGAATCTGGGTTAAACTATCTTTCTGGAAATAATATTCCTATGCAAGAAACCATATAAGGTTCTAATATTAAAATAAACTGTAACCTATTTACTTGTGTATAGCTTCAGCTCCTATAGGTAGTGCTTGCCAAGCTTGGATCATTGGCAAACCATGACAAACTGGAATTACCACAGCTTCTTTGTATCCAATATCTACAACCACAGCAGTATCAACTGCAATACTGGCCAGACTAACTAAATGTGAAGGTAAACTAAGCATCATTGATATTTCATAGTGGGAAAATAAAACCTATAAAAATATAGAAATCAATTAATTCAACATGTTATTTTTACAGTTTTGTAAATATATGTACAAATAAAAGTGTAAAATCAAAGTTTTCAAGCATTTTAAATCCTAACTTTTTTCCTCACACTAATTATTGAGATACAACTGGAATACAACTATGCAATTAAGACTTTTAAGTTTAAAACATTACCTTCGCTAAAGTTTCTCTAAACAGAGTCGGGCAGAGCAAGGATTCAACAATGATTACAGGTTTGTCTTTTGGACTTAAGAGAGCATATCTAAAATAAATTACATGCAAGAATTCTACCAATAGATCATAAAGATCTTCAGCAGATTCGTAATCCCATATTCTTCTTAGCTGACCAGATTTCTTACATCTAGCTACCGATTTTATAATTGTCCTAGGAGCAAATTCACCAGAAAAGCCAAATCTGAAAAACAGTAACATAAATACAGTTAAATTTTAGTATGAGTTATATTTTACTTTGTATATGCAGATCCTATATCAAGAACGACAGTTAATTTATCACTGCTTAACGTCTCATAAATTGGCATGGTTGTTTTAGTTGTAAATATCACAAATTATAAATATAATAAAAATTACTACTGAACAACATAACCTACACCCAGATCCAAATTCGTATTTCGCAGTCGCACTGTCAAACAGTTTTAAAGTCAAAAAGTGTCTCGACTTTTGACAGGAACCAGTGTTGCCATAGTTATACAAAATATGTTTACCTATGAAAAAATAAAATTTACTTATGTCGACTTTACACTATATGATTTATCATGTGATTTGTCATATGATTTGGTCATAAAGTCAAATTTCTATGTTCACACTGTGTGATTTGTCATATGATTTTGTCATAAGCACTGTCATGCGGCTTATCATAGCTTCTCACAGGAGAATAGGACGGTACCTATTCCGCATGATAAAATCATATGATTTTTGGTAAAAATATCGGTAACACCAGCATATTTAAATATCGCGCCTTATTCTTATGTCAACTACCGAGAGACAACATTCTTTATTTATTTATTTTTTGTTTTTGCATTGTTATTGAGCCTATTGTCTAATCTGTGCTACTGGGTCGTATTTTTCTTTTATTATTTATTTAGTTTATTTTATGCTTAGTTTAGTGTTTTATAGTCATCTTAGTCATAATTTTAGTTTAGTTTCTTTATTAATTAATTTTAATTTGGTATAATACCAACACTAAATTTGATATACCCCGTCCACTATTTCTTCGTAAGTCACCTGCGAGGCCAAAGGCGTCTTATCTTTTCTTCTTACTATTAGATGGACGCAGTTGTTGCAGGCGTATTATTATTAAAATTTCAGAAGCCAATGCAAGCAAATATTTATTTTCCATTATAATCACATTTATAATAGTTTAAAAATCTAATAGTTGTTACCTAAACTATGTCTAATATCTCTATGACCAGAAACAAAATGAAAAATCAATAAAACCTCATTGTTACTCATATCATAAGTCATAACTTATCATTCAGTGTAAACAAGATTTTTTAAAATATCATAGAAACGAGGAATCATAACAAATCTCATATGATTTTGTCATATGATAAAATCATGTAGTGTAAAGTCGACTTTATACTGAAATAAAATTTTTGTCAAAAATTAATTACTATTTTTTTTATTGACTTTACGTGTTCTCCTAATTTTAAAGTATGTAACAATGTGAGTTTCATTAACAACTTTATGAACACAGTGATCCTGCAATGCAATCTCACGCTATAAGGCTTTTACGAGCCTTTTTGGAATTTGTAGATCCTCTCTTAACTTTTTTAAAATTTCACGGTTCTGAACTACAGTTGAAAAAGGCCATGATTCTAAGGACTCATATGAGATCAACGCTAATGAATCATTGACATTGACATCAAATTGACAGAATGTAAATACATGTCAAGATAGTGGAAAACAACATTAGTCATCAACCACTTGTTGATAAAAGAATGCAATAAAAGTACATATTAAATTATTGGGCGTCAAACCTTTTTAACAATGAGTAGTGAAATTGTAGTGCCTGAAACGCCGAACTGGCTGCAAGAACTTGAAGCCAAACGAGAGAAGCGATTAAAAGCAAGATTAGGACATGAGGCGGGAGCAGGGGCCCCTTGTTTAAAATGCGAAGATAAGTGTCCAGGTAAGTTGATGAGTTCATTTTTATTATTAACCCGTATCTAATGTTTTAATTCAACGGAAAATACCGTTAATTCTACTAGGTTAAATTGATTTTTTCTTAAACTTACATTTAAGTAGCAATTCTTACCTGAAATAACATTAAAACAAACTAATTCCAGTAATATTTATATGAAATTCATTCATATTTCAAATAACGGGATCCAATAGCTTAAAAAATAATAGGCACATTTCCCCTATGTCACATTTGATATAGTTTTCAAAAACGAGTATGTAATTTATTAGTAATTAAGTATTAAACTACTTAGTATTAAAATTGGTTTTTTAAAGAGAACTTGAGAACACATCCCCTTACATCTGCAACCGCCAGCGGTAACTATATTTAGGGTAGAGATGTATATTGTTTATATCCTAATAACTTTTTACATGAGTGTCTGCCATTTATTTTTAACACATTTTTGTTGAGAACACAGCTTTCATAATTTCTTTCCTGTGAATGGGTTTATTTTTTTACAAATACCTTTGATGGTGCAATTTAGCAGCAATTTTTAGTTTTTCATTTCTGGGGGTTATTTAGATAAATTCCTTGATTTCTTTAATTTTTTAAATTATGTATATAATCTCTTTTTAGGATTGGATCTTCATTTCTGGAGAAAATGTTGCAAGATATGTAAATGTTCCAAAGAAGAACATCAGGTTCAAGATGATGACATTTATGGATGGGCACAGTTCCAGCTACTCGGGAGTAAACCAAATAAAATCAAAACCAAAATTGGTAAGTTACTAAAATAAAAAGACATATAATTTTATTTTTATTGCAGATATTGGAATGCTATTTTTTTCTTTAAATTCTATACTAATAATAATCTAATTTAACATTATTATAAAATAAGAAGACCAATGCTGTAGAAACAGAGTCAGTAGGTTTTTAACAATTAATAATGAGGAAAAACAATTTTTGAGCATTACTGGTGAGCTATTGTTGTTGGATTCCTCAGTAATCTTCAACTGTAATATTGTAAGATATCCGAAATTGCTATTATTCCAAAAAAGATTGACAGAAATGAAAAAGGCCACAAATAACTACTTCTTTAATAAGCTTTGATAAAACTTGGTCATTCTGTAGTTGTAGTGATGGTAAAAAGATATTCAAGGTAAACTATAAACAACTTGTAATGATACATAATTTTCAGTGTTTAGAGACTGTGATCTGGTATTGTTTCTCTCTGATGTATATTTTGCTACTACAGTAGGTACTATCAAATGTGATACAGAAGCAGTTGTAACATTAGATTTTTCAATTTATGTTCTGATTTATCAAATTCTTAATTAAATTCCTCAGTTCACATTTTTCATATCCTTGTAAATTTAGGTTATCTATAAATAAGTATAAGTAAATGTAGGAACATATAACTTCAGATCCATGAACAAAGACACTAAAATCCACGAACTAGAGGAAGAACTGAGTAAAATACAGTGGGATATTATCAGCATATCTGAAGTAAGAAGAAAAGGAGAACAAAAAATACAGCTAAAATTAGGAAATTTGCTATACTATAAAGGCAATGAAGAAAACACCAACAATGGAGTAGGATTTATAATAATTAAAAAAGTAGTTAAATACATACAATCTACCAGGAGCATATCAGATAGAATAGCATACATGACACTTAAATTAAAAAGAACATCCTTAAAAATCATACAGGTGTACGCTCCTACAAGTACCTACATCGATAAAGATATTGAACATTTCTATGGACATAACAACAGCTATGGAAGAAAAGAAATCAAAATTAACACTAATAATAGGGGACCACAATGCCAAAATAGGAGAACAACTATATAAAGAAGAAGACAAAGTAGAACACCATGGATACAGCAAAAGAAATGCTAGAGGACACACATTGATGAATTACTTGGAGGATAAGCAACTATATGCAATGAATCTAAGAAAAAATCCCAAAGAAAATGGACATGGATTAGTCCCAATGGTGAAACTAAAAACTAAATTGATTCTATTCTTTCAACGCAAAAATCCATGGTTAAAGACGTAACAGCCCTAAATTGCTTCTCAACTGGTAGTGACCATAGACTAGTCCTAGCCAAGCTGATCATTGATAGTAGATTTGAGAAAAGAAAGAAAATGGAAAATAATCAGAAATTAGACATGGAAAAACTAAAACAAGAAAAACAGATGTATGAAGAGAGAATAACGGAAATATTGCCTACCAAGGAAGATATAGAACACAAACATATCGATGAAATAAACATGATATTTACTAAAACTCTAATGAAAGTGGGTAAAGAAATAGCACAGACAACAACAAAAAAAAAGAGTTTCATATCCCAGGAAACAAAGATTCTTATGAACTCAAGAAGAGCATTACTAAAACAAGGGGATAGAAATAAAATGGAATACAAATAAATAAACAAAACTATTAAAAAAATATCAAGGAGTGTAAACGGAGAGTACAGGAAGAAAAGATACAGGAAAAAATAGAAATATGAAGTGCTTAAAGCGGAACCTGGGAAACACACAAATTAATAGCATATAGAACAAAGAAGGAGTAAAGACCAACAATATAAAATAAATTTTACAGATAATGCACGAATATTATACAAATCTCTATAAAACAGAACAAAAACCAACTCAAGAAATCTGTAATCAGTTACAACTGAAAATAAAGAATGTTAACTCTGACCTACAACCAGAAATCAGTAAAAATGAAATAAAAAAGGCACTCAAAGAAATGAAGAATAACAAATCTCCTGGGAAAGATAGAATAACTGTGGAAATGCTAAAAAATGGGGAGAAAACTACAGTGGAAATCCTTTATGTACTAATGAATAAAATATTGAACACAAAACAAATACCGACCACACATGAAACGAGGCAAAACAACTAAGTTAGATAATTACTTACCAGTCAAGAGAGCAAACCGGTTTTAGAAGAGGATTCGATACAAGCGACCATCTGCTTAGGATAAAAATATTAATTGAAAAGGCCAATGAATATCAAATCGTAATGTATATGGCATTTGTAGACTTTGAAAATGCATTCGATAAGGTGGAACATTGGGCAGTAAAGAACTCTTTACAAAATGGGAGAATAGACTATAGATACACAGACTTAATTTCCAATATATATGATCAAGCAACCACATCCATTAAAATAGTTGAACAAACGGAGTCTATTAAGATACAGCGAGGAGTCAGACAGGGTGACACTATATCACCCAAACTATTCAATCAAGCTTTGGAAGACGTTAGGAGGAAATTACAATGGGAAAAACCGGGTATTAACATAAATGGCCAATACTTGAATCTTTTGAGATATGCAGACGACATCGTATTAATAACAGATAAAAGGCAAGAATTACAAAATATGATGGATGAATTAAATAGTGAATCAACAAAAATATTTATACAAATGAATTATAATAAAACGAAAATTATGACCAACCAACCAAATAATTACAATTGCACAAG